CAACCTTGTCTTCCATTTCACTGCAGTGCGTCTCAATGCGCCGGTATAGCGCCCTTACCCAACTGCGTTTGTGACTGATCGGGTGGTTGCTATTGAAGTTCAGTATTTGTGTCGTATTTGTCTCCTTCCTAATGTGGCCTCTTTGGCACTGCCATTTAGACGGGATCCGAGCAGCCACTTGTCTGTGTGAAAAGTTTGTCCTTCGTACGCGAACCAGGCGTGAATGACATGCGTGGACTGGATGCTGAGTTTTGTCAGTTACTGTGTCTGGTTCCGTCTCCGGTACTCTTGACTCTGTTTTTATACCGGGTTCAGGAGGCTTGGAAAAGGAGGACGTGTGGTAGACGCAAGAAAAGTTTGCTATCTTTGTAAGCTGTTTCATACGCAAGTCAACGTTTCTGTGACTACCCAGCTCTGGGGTACACAGTAGACATTGTCGTTCGCGACGACTAAGCTCTCATGTCAGGAATATTGCCAACCAGGTTAGTCTATGTAACGTGCTTTGTTAAGTAGATGGAGTTGTCCGTGCTGCATCGCGCATAGGCCGGAGCTCTATGTCACATCAGACGTGTCTTATTAACACATTCTCTAGCGATACTGAACGCTGAACGAACCATCGTTCGCTTATATTGGACAAAAAACTTTGTTTTATCCTCCAGACAGCCTCAGAGAAAGGCGGTTGGCGGCACACCGAACACAAAATTATTGACATGGAATAAACCCAGGGAAACATTATCAGACTGGCAATTATATCAATTACCAGAAATATAATAGTGCTGCCAGCCGACAAAGGAAGAGCAACCGTCGTGATGAACCGCGTTGACTACAACGAAAAGGCACAAGCCCTCCTAGACGACCAACAGTCCTACAAGTCCACGCCTCCCTCGCGAGCCAAATCGATGATTGGTCAACTAACTGGACTCCTGAACCGACTCAAGCGAAACAGTGCTATATCGCTGGACGATTGGCGACAGATTAAACCAACGGATACGGCACTGGCCCGGTTTTATGGATTACCCAAAATCCACAAGCCCAATGTTCCCCTTCGACCAATCGTTGCCTTGAAAGGCAGCCCCACTTACAATCTATCCAAGTGGATGGCCCGAAAACTTAACTTTCTCCGAGAAGGCTCAAGGACCTCCATCAATTCGGCCTCCCAATTCCTGGCCGACATCCGAGGAAAAGTTGTCCGACCGGAGCAGATCATGGTGTCCTTTGACGTGGTTTCATTATTCACGTCCATCCCACCGGACCTGGCACGCGACGTTTTTCGCAAACGACTCGAAGAGAACTACGACGAGACGAACAAACCCCTAAAAATCGACCACTTACTAAAACTGTTTGCTTTCTGCCAACAAACCTTCACCTTCAATGGCAGAACATACGAGCAGATAAAAGGAACGTCGATGGGTTCGCCAATATCCAGCCTGGTTGAAGAACTAGTCCTGCAGGAACTGGAAAAAGTCGCCTTCGACCACTATGAACCTGCATTTTGGCGCCGGTACGTGGACGACACGTTCGTCATAATTGAAAGGAGCAGACTGGCCGACTTCCAAGACCTGCTCAACGGCATCTTCCCAGACATCCAGTTCACAAGGGAAGAAGAGCATGCCGAACAGCTGCCTTTCCTTGACGTTCTCGTCACACGCACACCCAACGGCGAACTCAACACCACGGTGTACAAAAAGGCGACTAACACGACTCAGATTCTCAACTACCACAGCAACCACCCAATGGCGCATAAACGCAGCTGTGTTAGGACACTCTTCCGGAGGGTCAAAACGCACTGCAGTGAACCAGAGGGACGAGTACAAGAACTTCGGCATCTTCGGGACCAACTGGCAAGGAATGGATACCCGAACAGATTCGTCAGCCGCTGCCTCCGCATGCGCCCACGGCGAACAAACGGAGGAGAGCCGCCAACACTCTGGCACCCTCTGCCATATATAAAGAACGTATCCGAAGCGATGGAACGTATCGCTGGAGAGCTCGGCGTGGGTATCGCTCACCGTCCGACAGCGACCATGCGCAGCAAAATCATGCAAGTGAAGGATCGCCTAGACGTGGGTGAACAATCGGGCGTCGTCTATCAGATCCCATGTCAGGACTGCCCTCGCCACCACACTGGACAAACCGGACGACGACTTAGCTCACGAATAACGGAGCACAAACGGGCGGTCCGGAGAGGCGACCCGTTGTCTCAGGTCGCCACTCACACCCTGGAGGAACGCCACGAATTCAACTTTGCGAGCACGCGGATAGTGGCGCGGGCCAGCAATAAGACAGGACGAGAACTGTTAGAGGCCTGGGTGTCTGACACCAACGCTATCAACAGGCACGTTGATATACCCCCCTGCTATCACGCGCTCCGTTCCCGCGGCCAAGGGGCGAGACCCAATTTCCAGCCAAGGGTGCACGCAGTCACGCCACCGTGAGACGGCGTGGGACGCAATTTTTTGCGAATACCACCCTCTGCACTCATATCTCCCCCCCCCTTCATGGCGTGACTACAAAAACCACTCATTTGATGTTGCCTTCTCACAGTCTCTGACGATGGCCTCCTGTACGAGACCGAAAGCTCAGACTAGTAAACCCACTGTCCCAGAGATCGGGTCTTCATCTTCTTTACAACAAGAACCTGGGATTCGCATATTCGCTTCCATCCATATCAATATCTATTCTTTAGGGTATAACAGGCTGTTCCAGACAACTTATCTTTAACAATGTAAACGACTTATGCAGTTGTAATTTAAGTTCTTGGGCCGCGTAGCAATGACGGCACAGTTTACTCAGAGAGAACGAAGAGGAAATTTGATGTATGTCTCCCGAAATGCTGCGAATCCACGGAGCCTTCTAGAGTAACAGCTACTGAGAGCATTTTCAACCAGTGTCATCGAAATTGGGAGGTATACAATGCTGATTGGATGTGGTTTAGTAGCCCCACCTGAAGTAAACAAACCGCAGTCACCTCTAAAACGGGACGGGTGGTAATAGGGGTTTTTACAGGTGGAGCGACGATGTCAAGTAGTTAAATGCAAAAGAAAAGCTACCGAGAGTGCGCGTTTGTACGTTGAAAGGTTGAGAAATATTTGGGCGACCTCCTACCCCTAGCCGCAATCCCTAACTATAGCCCCTTATCCTAAACCGCAACCATTAACCCTAACCTCTAACCCTAACCGCTAACCATACCTCCTAACCATTAACCATAACCTCTAATCCCTAACACTAACCCTTAACCCCAACCCAAACAGTATTGTGTCCATTAGGTGGGGCTACCAGGCCACATCTTACCAAAATGTTTGTCAAAAATCAGAGCAAGTCTGGTCTAGGAGTGCGTGAACCTGAAGGAGTATAAAAATTCCTTAATGGCCATGAAAACTCTGCCATGTTTATCAATGATTGGTTCTCTGCTCCGATGGGATAATACCGCAGCCAAAAGGCCCAAATTCCAGGACGCATTGATGAAAACTTGCACACCATCCTCAGCAGCCAATCTGCCCGTTGTGCGGAAATGAGTAGTTGAAATCACGTAGTTGAAGCCAAAGCTGTATTCACTCGTCAACAATTATAGTGGAGATGATGAAGGCAGTCGAACTATTTTCGGGAGGAAACCCGTGTCGTTAGTAAGGTGGTAGGACCCTAATACTGGAAACGCTGTAACATGCGTTTCAAGAAACATGTTATCGTGAATGATAGATCTGAACAAGTGTCTGAGAACTAAGTAGGCTGACCTAACCTAGTAACGTCTGTGCCTAGTTTACCATATGTTATTGCACCAGACTGATCGTCGGTTGTCCAGTAATAACTTGTGCCGATAATGCAAAATTGGAAAGAATTCCTGTAATTTCGAATAAAAAGGTTACCTAAGTAGGACCTGTTGTACTCCACTGTAAGTGAAAATCTGGCCTGCCCACAAAAACGGAATAAAAATAATTTGTGATAATGAGTGTGTAATGATTCCGTGTCTGCTAAAAGTCCGTTTAATATAAAACGTAAACCATGAGGCTAGACATTGTGCTGTAAATCAATTCCAAGAGTTTTGTTATTTATTTTTCTTTGTCTTGCGATTGCCACCACAGAAAGCGAAGTTGCTGCCCTCTAAAATGCTGTAAATCGAGCACGTCCGTCGATAAATTTCACAGTGGAGATGGAATCGGCCGGTTTGCTTCCTCTCGTAGATGTCCTTCTTAACAGGAGACCTGACGGTAGCATCCGAAGAAGCGTCGGTTGGAAGAAAACCTGGTTTGGACAATAAACAAACATCGCTAGTTTCGTACCCCTCCAACAAAAACGAAATCTAGTCAGGTGTTTGGTATAAAGAGTTAGAAAAACTTGTTCAACAGATGGTGTCGCCGAGGGACTTAGAAAAATCCAGCACTTGTTTCGCGAAAACCGGTACCCTGACAGGCTCATTGCAAAGAACACTGCCGAACGACCCGCAAAAACCCACCACGCTGATCGCCGAAAAGAAAACTTTGTTCCTCAAAGTTCCCTTCCAAGGAGACGCTGCGAGCGAATTCCTAAGAAGACACCTTGATTAGGCTGTCTCGAGAACCTTCCCAGCAGCAAGGGTTCGCTTATCATTCTCTACTAACCCTATCTTAAGGGGAGAAGGCAAGGATAGGCTGCCACCTCAGTCCACGTCAATGTTCATCTACCCGTTCACTTGCTCCTGTGGAGCATGTTATATTGGTCGTACGATTCGGCGCCTTCCCAAAAGAATACGAGAGCACCTCTTCGCATGACTGACAAAAGGTGAAACTATGAGAATAGACAGCGCCATCCGTGCGCATGCAGTGAATTCAGGCTGTTGTGTGGACTAGGCCGAAGCATTTCATGTGATTTATAAGGTCCCCTCCAGCCACCGTAAACTACAGGGCCAGCGCCTGTTAGCAGCAGCTAAAGCGGCCGCCATCAGGTTACGAAAACCGACCCCATGCGCCCAGAAGAACCTCGTCCAGGCTCCGCGCTTACGGTGGTCAAAGGTTGACTAACCACCTTCCACTTTCTGTTCCCTTCCGCTCTTGCCTAGCCTGCGTTTTTAAAAACTGGTTTTTATGACTTTTTCAATCACTGTACCCCGTTCCCATTTAACTGAAGCGGCATGAAGAGAGGTTATCGGAAGAAACGTTTGCTTGTCACTTTGCCTTCTGAGAATTTAATATATTGATTTGATAATCACTAATTGAACTATAATATAGTGTTTCGCGTGTATTATTTAGCTGAAACCGATGCAACGTTCGGACAGAGACTTAGAACTCAATACCACTCAGTCTTCTTATTAAAGACAAGCTTTTTCAAGCCGGAATTTTGATATAGCATGCATTAGAAAGTAACATCCGACTTCTGAACGAGCAGCTAATGTTTTTCGAAAAGACCCTTTTTAAACTTGACGTATGTTTATAGAAAGTGCACTATATAAGCTACTTCTTCCAATCCAAGTTCTCTATGTTGCTCTACAAAGACACTCTGAGTAAAACCCTCAAATTTGCAACAACTAAATGAATACACATGTTACTGAGGTTTGCTTTTGAGGACTTCATTGAAACTGCCTGACAGAGTCGATCAGAAAGTTCATTTTGTGGAAATAATATCGTTTTATTAGGAGACGGAACTTAATGTTATACGTCTGCGTGAAGTAATAAATACGCACATCTGTAATTAGAAATAGGCAGGTTAATACTCAGGTTGCTTGAAAAACTGGCGACGGGTAAATGCTAAGGTTTTTGCATGAAGGGAAGTATGGTCCCCAATCTACACAACACCAAGCATAAATTTATTTGGTATTTAAAGGGGCAAAAGCATTTGCAACTAGAAATGCGTGTCAGAGTGAGTCTTTTATCTCAATAAATTTCTAAAATACGAGCTTTCTGGCCGTATTATACGGGGATAGGCGATAATCGCGCATTTGTGAAATTCGCACTGTTTCACTCGAATACATAGACAGTTCAACCGTCGTTTTCGGTGCTGCCTGTTCGGTGTCGTCTGTTCCACGACATGCTGGGCACGGGTGCGCTGATTTGCGCGTGAATTTTTTTGTAGAGATAATAGACTTACGCAGTATTTTCCGCACTCTCCCCTCCTTCACCTACCTCAGCCTGGTGTCAAGAGAGAGAGAGAGAGTCAAGGAAACCGGGGTGAGATCGGGCGAGGGTGGCTAGCATGGTGTGGGCCAGCGAATTAGTGTACCAATGTACCCCCTGTATAACATCTTCTATGGGTGCTCAGCCCAATAACGCGTGCTGGTCCAGCGGATCTACCACGCGGCCCGATTTGAGAGGCAAACCTGGGTGTATTCCGGTCTCATTAACACTCTGACTAGCATGTGAGGATTCCTCGTGGGCAGGTCGCTGGCCGGTAAATAATAATGTACCTTTATGCCTATCCTTCATCTTATGTTTCTTTGGAAATGACTTCAAGAGGAATTATCACCCCCGAATCACACTCATGCCACTAACAGGGACTATCTACATCCTGCGTCCAGATAGCTTTGAACTGTGAATTGCTGTTGTCGTAGAAAGGCCATTCGAGGTCGAATTCCCATAAGAGACATTTAAAATATTTTCAACGAATTTTTCAATCGGGCCACCTTCATTTTCTACTAAAATTAAACAATGCAATACGAATACTGCAGTTTTCATACCAGAAAGCACATGCAGCTAGCTGGGGAACTCAGGGAGGAGACAAAATCCTCACAGCTGCGTCAGCAGGGGCAACAGATCGGCGAAACACGCGTGTCTGGGCTTTTGGCTGGTACCTGTGTTGTCAGTATGTTAACGCAATTAGTATTTGTACACTTCCGACTGCCTGCTGGCAGCTTTCAAACATTAGGGCATTATTTCGTAGTGGATGATAGATCAATACATATGTGTATTCATATATAATCTTTCAAACCAAGTCTAAAAAGCCTTGTTATGAAAGCTTTACTCCAGGTTTGCGTGTTAGTTAAACAAGGCAGTATGAATACTGGAGTTTATATTATCAGAAAGTGGATGACGAGTGCTGGGGTCCCAACGATGAGCCGAGCACCTTGCAACTTCGTCATGCAGTTACAGAAGATAGGCAAAGCAGGCGTGTCCGGACTTTCGGCAGGTACCTGTGCTGTCCATATGGTAACCCACTTACAATGTGCCATTACAGAAATAGAAGACAAATTCATGAAACAGATCACCTCGGGTAACTGGAATGGGAATCGATAATCTCAATAAGCATGACAGAGAAATAAAGCTTCTGCCATAACATTTATGGATTACGTGAGCCTGGTAATCATCTGGTGGATTCTACATGTATTACTTAGGAAATTCTGCTTAGACAGTCAGCTTACTGTATCAGATTTTGTTGATCCAGACGTTACAGTATGTTAGGTGGGTAAACTTGATTCAAATGTGATTAAACTCACGTTTTCCGGTGGGGCGTCGTAGCTCAGGTGGCCAGA